TGGCCCCCGCGTAACGGACTGGGAGGGGGGGGGGGATGTTCGTTTCACACGTGGAAATCGAGCTCGTGTAAGAAAGCGATGCTGTGTACTAGAAGCGCTGAATCCTAAACAGAGAAAATGAAATGGAAAGTTGTCGTGTCCCGAGTAAGAGTGGCTAACACTGGTTTATGCGGCGGCATTGCATTAATGCGGGTAAAGTAAAACAAAATAGGGTTTTAGTCGTTGTGACTCCGACATAACCCATTCCTGCTCCTACGAGGTGGATTTGTCCCCAAGAAGAAAGGACCGTTGGCTTTCATTGATAATTTTTGTTTTGATGATATTTGATCAGTTTATTATTGACACAAACTGCAAACTTCCGTGTACATCAGAAAGTTCAGTACCATCTACGTATTCACATTACATTTGAAAAATCAAAACAAATCCCAATTTCGGAGAAGGTGACTGAAGGAGAATTACAATGACTAGGGATCCCATACGTAATAAAATTAAATCCAAACCCAAACCACAGAATACTTGAGAGCATATCGGACTGCAAGAAAGAAGCATAAATGTTTAACTACCTATTGCTATAAAAATATGAAAAATTTATGAAATCGTCAAATCTAAAACTGGATCCATTATAATTTTTTTTACGAACGGTATATATAAGATACAATATGTGTATATCTGTACATTTTTTATTCGTTAATTTCTTTTACTGGATATACCTAATAACGGTGGTATAACTGAACTACCAAAAACAAATATTCATTGTCATGTTCCTACTATGGCGGTGGTCGATATAGATTGTATGGTAAAAAAAAATTGTTCTAGTGTCCAGGAAGAAATCCAAGATATACTTTTGCATGGACTAGACGTCGCCCGGATATCCTCTTCAAAGTACAATGTACCGACACATACTTGTGCAAGACTTCAAGGTACGGTAAGCTCGATCTACATAGATCGTACCAAGCATTAATATAACTAACATCAAGTCGTTGAATACGTCAGTTCCCAAGTGACCAACCAATAAAATCTCGTAAAAGTTAGTAGAAATTTAGTAAAAATTAAATTTACGTAAAATTGGTTTTATTCAATGTTTTAATTCGCGTCAATATATTATGTAACAAGATCGTGTTGAAATTACAAATGATGAGGAAAAAAAGTTAAAACTCTTTATAAAATTTACATTTATTCTTACATACATATTAAGTACTATGTACAGTCAGAGAGAAAAGCGCACTATACATGCACAAAAATATTTCATTTTTATCATTAATTGCGTTGAAACATACAAAGTTTGAGTGACTGAAAATTTATAGATAAATATTTTTATTTTATATACCGTGGACAATGAAAACAATTTTAATAATTACTGTTACGTAGTTGCTTCATTTTGTGCGCAATATTTTTTTTATTCCAAACAATTCAACTATTAAATGCGGCGCAAATGAAACATGACAAGTACTGTTCTATTTATGTGTTTTTTAAATAAAAATAAAAACAATTAAAATTGCACTTATTCATATCTTTGGTAAAATGTAAATGAAATTCTTTGGCTATTTCTAAATGCCATTTTTTAAATTATTTGGCAAATGCATAATAAATAAATATACTTTTAAAAGACTAGCTCACATTATTTAATAAATAACTTAATAATAATGTATCTAAATAATATTAAAAATGAAGAAACTTCAATTAAATCAAATAATTGAGTTTTTATATGAAACTAATTTCAATATTGGGTACCTGCGGGTAATAAGGCCTGTCAGCTAATAAGACCTAAGTAACAAAAATCGTATTGATAATAACCGCTCTCGCTCAAGGAGATATTAACTGACTCCTATTGCACGATAATGATCAGATAGGCTAATCTCAGTTGAGACTGGCCGCTGTGACAGAAATGTGTTTGGGAGGACACTCAACCCAACAAACAACTCAACCTAACACTCAACTCAACTCGAGACACAACCGACGCACTGATGATAATCACGAGGAGTGTGTCTGTTTGTTAGTTTGTTCTTAATTATTTTAAGTGATGTTAGGCGAGACAATTTATTTATTTTTTGAATTTTGAGTCTTAATTACTGCAATCATGTGATTGTTGATCACAAACATTAAATATATTACGTATAGTTTGATTATTTGAGTTCTTTAAAACAGTAGGCCTTATTACCCTGCCATGGTAAATTAAGGCAAATTTTACAATTTTTCGGTTCAAACTTTATATACACTGCACTAAACTAATGATTTTTATTAAAATCTGTAGACTGTAAATCATTTTATTTAGAACTTTCCTTAGCTAGGCCTTATTACCCGCAGGTACCTTACATACAAATAAAGTTGGAATGTAATTATGAGCTTGTTGTTAGTTACAATTGAACAATTGTTATCGTGTTTATATTTTCTATAGACGATTGATTCTTTAAAAAAAAAACAAAGAGGCTTCTTTAAAAAAAACCTTTCTCCACAAAGTCTCTCTTAATTGCCAAAATAAGAGGTTATTTTTTAAAAAGAGACGACAATTGCAAACGCTCCTCCCACATACTCGCGTCCTAATTTATATTATTTAAGCTTTATTTTATTGATATTGTTATTAATAAATATACTACGTTGCACAACTCGGACTAGATCATCTCCTTCGCGCTTACATTCACTGAAGCCGTCTTAACATAATTTTTATATATCTAATTATTTTAATTTTTTAAGTAATATCACGCACGATTTTGCTTTCACGGTATTAGACGTAGTATCGCACTGACAATATACTTATTGGAATGTAATGAGATCTCTTGACTAGGGTATAATGTCATCCTCGTAAATATTTACATTCCTGGAAATTGTTGATACGGGAACATCAATATATACAAAATATACGTTGCTTATTGTGTAAATATTTACGTCAATGACCTAATTTGTACAAATTTCTCGAACCACACAATTAAAATGAACAAACTTCTGAATTTCTAAAATAAAAATATACCCATTAACCATAACATTATATATATTAACGTACTCTGAAGTAGTTTGTAGCATTTTTCAATTTTGAAAATGTGCTCACAACAATGCTTGATATCGTTTGAAAAATTTTACTAAATTATATTTACTTAACCGTTGCAATCGTCCGATTTCATCGGGCATTTTTCCTATTTTGTGTTTCCTCTAGTAAAATTACAGGTTTCAATAAGAACATAACAACTTTGTCATCTTATTGCGTTTTCTATTAACTAGAACGCTTGAGAATACCTGAACACACTTAATCTCCCTGTTTGATACTAAAATAAGTATATACATAATATTATTTAACACAAATCTAATAGGAAGAAAAGTTATTTAAAAAAAAATTATAACAAAGACAAGTCACTAAGGTGCCTCTGTGTGTGTAAACTGTTTAATTTTTTACAGGTATTCAAATAAGTATTTCTCTATTCTTTATTGTACACACTGTAAGTTGATAACAATTATTAAATATTGAAATAAGATGTACAAAGGCGAGCTTAACCCTAATAAGAGTTCTCTTCCAGCAAACCTTTTGGGAAAGAGAAATAGTTATATATTATACTAGCTGTTCCCCGCGACTTCGTTCGCGTGTTAGGGTTTTTATGTTTTTGTGTGGAACCCTAATTATTTTTCTAAAAAAAAAATTGCCTAAGTTACTCCTTATGAAATCAGCAATCTGCCAGTGAAAATCCCTATAATCTCAAAATCGGTCCAGCCGTTTCGGAGATTACCCGGAACAAACAGACAGACAGACACAGACAGACAGACAGACAGACAAAAATTTTAAATATTGTATTTTAGTTATAAGTACCGTATTTACTTTCATGTGTATTTAGTAAAAAACTGTAATTTTTACATTACAAACAGACACTTCAATTTTATTTATTTGTATAGATAAAGCAAGTAGGTACCAGCGTGTGTACTTAATTATTAACATAACACTACTTAATAGAAATTCTTCTGATTCTATCCGTTTTAGAAAGCAGTTTATGTATAAGTATATTATTTATTATCAACGTACGGTAGATAGCTCTTCAATATTTTTGCATATTTTAAGAGGATTTTTATCATGTCCCTTTTTTAATAATTGTCTATTTATTTTAATTTCTTTTGGTACCAATTACCAAAAGTGGTGTATGTATCAATTATACTTATGATTACACAGAGAGCATAAATCTTCAGAAAGAGTAAAAATTCATTGAAATCGATAAAAGTCTGTCAACAGAATGTATTGAATGCAATTTTGTATATTATGAAGTAAATACAGACGAAATTAGAATTCACAGTTTGAATTTGGAATTGATAATCAAAATTCGACACAATAATAATACGGAAGTAATGTTATTCTTATATTATCCTATAAAAAAATGTTTCGAATTAAATTCTTTAATTGAAATAATATTTTCGTGACTATCAAACGAGGAGATGCAGGTGTATCCAGGTAATTTCACACTTAAAATAAATAAACATACACGTAATTCTAAATATACCAAAGAACAACTTAATTATATCTATTCGATTACGTTTGACTAGAAACGTTTAGATATTGAGAGATCAATACGTCAGTAACAGTACCCAACTAACATATGCAATACCGTCGCACAAGAGTTCTCTTTCAAAGTTTGATTGCACACCATCTACTAAAAGTTGCCTTTAGATTCCGAATGCTTTGACTGTATACATCTTCATACGTTACAATGATGCATCATAGTCAATGTATGCATCATTGTGACCGGGAACTACTTGAAACTGTTAGAAAAGTTGTGTTTTAGTTCTAATATTTCTATTTCTGTTGAATGTTTTCTATATTAATCTGTTTCCAATATTTTTCGAAAAAAAATCGTTATGATATCAGCTGATATAAAGATCGAAGATTCAACAATAATATTGATCTGTACATCAGATTTGCTACATGAAGCAATCTTATATAATAAGAAGCATTCGAAAACAGAAGGTACAACTCCAACAATTTAATGTTTGTTTCAAAGCACTAGAAGATGGTGTTGTGGTATACGGCGTCACAAAAGATGGTCGTCTTGGTCATCATGGTCCTCCTCAGACTCCGCAGAGTCCAAGCTGGGGACATGGTCCAAATCTTGGCTCTCGCATTGTGTATCCAGTTCAGATGACGGTGCGTCGTCATCTTTCCATTTGTCCATGGATCTTCTGCGCGCGTTCATGAAAAAGTTCCCAACTGTGGTCGGTTCCAAGCCGAGCTGCCTTGCTATCGTCACTTGCATTTCTTTTGACGGCCTCTTTGTTTCCTGGAAATTGTGAAAATAAATATATTTGAATCGTGGAAAATTATATGAAATATTAACAACTAGCGACACGCCCTGCCTTCACCTGGGAAGGATCTGGTAATGTAGCTTAAACAATTGTGGTTATTTTTTTTTTCACAAAAAAAGAAACCTCCGTGATTTTCGGATAAAATGTAGTCGTAAAGTTTAATTACAATCGGTACAGCCATTTCGAAGATTAGCTATATTTGTTTTATTTGTCCGGACAGACAAAAAATTTTAAAAATATTTATTAATACATAAGGTCATACAAATAACCTCCTCAGCTTTTTCTACTTATAATAAGCCAGTGCTTGAACACAATGCCACCTGGTGGTAAGTGGTGATACAGCCTTATATCGTAAATCGCACTGTCTTAGCGTAACAAAAGCCTATTCACTCTTGCCTTGAAGACGCCTAGATTGTATTCGGACGGAAAGATAGACGCCGGCAAATTATTCCACTCCTTTGCTGTATGCATAACAAAAGACGAAGCTATTTTTTTGGTTCTAATGCGTAGAATATCGACAATTAAGGGTTGAAGACCCGTCGATCGCCTGGTTTTCCGATGGAGGAAAGGAGAGGGAGGAATTAAAGCGTGTTATTCCTGCGCACACTCATTGAAATGAATCCTATACAATACCGAGAGACTGCGCTTTACATAAGGTAAGAAGCTGCCCCAGCGTGAAGTACCGCCGCACCCTTGGCGGCTGTTTTGGCTCTGGACTCAATGAACCGCCCATAGTTAAGGTTCGGAGAAAATTCAACCGCTAACAACTGAAGGTGGTCAGTGTACTCCAACGATCAGCTCAATATAAGACAATAATTTCGATATTTCAGGTATTACTTCAATTTTATTTATATGTATTACTAGTTATTTCACCGTCAACATTTTTCATTGAAATCCGTTAGTTAATTAGTAATTTTTACAATGTAAAATTATATACAGAGATGGTAAGTGGATACGCAAATACCCATTTACCCTGCTAATAATACGGGTAAGGAAACAGGTTGTAATCAAACACTGATTATATTAACTTTCTAATCGTATTTATAACGTGTTAGCTCTCATATGCACTATGCGATTACCCGCAATGTGGTCAGTCGTGACCGCAAGCAATAATAATATGTACCATCTATTTCTATGCGCACTGCGATGCGGCTACCCGCAAACCGCTCCGGACGGTTGCTACTCGCACTGTGTGGCTCAGCTAACACGTGGTATAGCCATGCTGCAGCTATATTAATATTATAGTTGTAGCACGAATGGGTCGGCTCGACCGGGGAAGGACCACGCTCTCACATAATACCAGCGTAAAATAGCAGCTTAACGCTGCTGTGTTTCGTATGGTGAGTGTAGAGAACCGGAGACCCGTTTTACTGGAAAAGAGGCATTCCATCTTAGTCCTCACGGCTGACAACGCATCTGCATTTTAATTCGCAAACGAAGATAGATGTAGATGTCTAGGGGCCACAGCAACCACTTACCATCAGGTGGACTGCGTGCTCGTTTGTCACCCTTATTCTATAAAAAAAAAGTTTGAGGCTGCCCACCATTGAGTGAGATTGTGTGCACGTGGTACGTTTATGATGGATATCAAAAAATTTATTATCGAAATCCAGAGACCGCCAGCAATTTGGAATACCAAATGCCAGAATATTCCGATGAATTTTTAAAACAAAGAGCATGAGATGAGTTGGTACATATTTATCACGGTACGGAAATGTATCGATATGACCGTAAATCGTAACGCCTCTTCAACCGCAGGTTGCGGTTGCGTATGGTATTGCCCGCAATCCGGGTGGCCGCATTCGCAAGCGCATTCTGCGGCCGGCCGCATGGCTAGCCGCATTGCAGTTACGCGTAGTGCGTATGAGCGCTTAAAGCCATAGTACAGATATATTATAGTTGGATCGTGAATCACAGATGTCAGCTCCCACAGAATACAACGTGAAATAGCAGCTTAACGCTGCTGTTTCGAAAGGTGAGTATATAGTTCCGGAGACCCTTTTTACTGATAATGAGGCATTCCATCTTAGCAGGGGTAACAACGTATAGTCTGCATTGTGATACTTAATCGAGCGCGACTTAAGACGCAACTATTCTAACTCCATTCAATGTTGTTACAGCCTTTCACGGGTCCACTGCTGACCATAGGCCTTCCCCAAGGAATGTAACAAAACACGATTTTGAGCCACCTGCATATTTCGCGACGACTCTTACCACTCGAGAACCTTTCTTCCTCACCAGTTATCGATTCTTCGAGCTATTTGACCTACAATTCTAATATTATTCCTCAATTGATAATAATAATGATTGCTCTACTACTCGAAACCGTGGTTGCTCAGTTTGATCCCCACCAACTCTATTGAAGTTAGTACACATTGAGGTAGCGCGGTGGATTCATACCCACGTCAAAAATCCTTTGAAAAACAAAAGAAGACAGCATTTTACATTTGAGCTTTTATTATTGAGCACAGCAGGGGGATATATTTTAGGCAGTTTTTACTTCAATGGTAATAATATGATACCTAGATATTACGTTATAGATCTATGATACCTTAAAAATAGCCTGTAGAGTACGCCGCTGGAGGTCTGTGAAAACCAAACGCGGCTTCTTCGGGGAAGGCATATCCGTACCCATGTCCTCCTTGCGCTTGCAACCTGGAATGTTACGGCATTAATTTAGACATTATTCTATATTAAAATAAATATTATAAGTATTACAATAACAATATTAAAATATATATTTTTTTTTAACTTTAAATATTTGGTTCAATTTTTTCATTATGTACGTTCAACTTTTTTATTGTCCTCTACCTTATCTTAATAGTAAATCTCGTTTTAGGCGACAGAGGGAAACAAACCAGAAGATTAGGCGACAGAGGGAAACGGTTGCCACGCAAATATGTATTAAATATCCCTTATGAGCATTCTATGGGGCCTTACCATCGGTTGCTTTAGGCTTTTTTTATTTTTGCTAAGAATCGTGACTGCAACTTGCATTAATCAAGGTAAGATAAGTAGGGCTAAGATCCCGTAACGTTGAAAATCATTGCCTGTTAATAACGTACTGGCAGAAAAAAAAAAGAATTATTTGACAGGAGAAATTAACAATTCCTGACTGTTCGCACCTTAGACGCACTTCCTCTTTTTATATAGTAGGTACGTGAGGGTAATATGGTCATCCGGTTAATATGATCGCTTTCTAAAAACTCAAAAACACCAGCCTTGTTTTCATAGATGGTTCTGTAATACGATATCTCTTCATCAGTCAATCAAATAATAATGGGTCGAAAGGGCACTGCTTTATCGACGCCATTTTGACAGTTGAAATTATTGTGAATATTTTAGTCCATATTAGTATGGTGTAGTCATTGAGTTATATGTACTACGTACTAGAGAAGCCATTCCAAACAAAAATTGTGTCCTACTCTATGCCTTCGCGCAAGCGCGGAAGTAGTAGTCGCGCATGCGCGAAAATTTTAATTTGATATAAAATAAGATATTAATTTAAAATAAATATAAGAATTTAATATAAAATATCTTAATTTAATCTAAACAAACATATTTCTAAATAAAATGTAATAATAATTATTTTATGGAATTCACAAATCTTCAATTTACACAATATTTAGTTTGTACGGATTGCAGTACAGTTCAATTGAACATAGTCAATGTTCGGAATGGCTTCTTTCGTACGTAGTACATATAACTCAATGGGTGTAGTATATTCTTTTAAGTTCATTTTTCGAAGTGTTGCTAGTGATTGACAAAGCTTGTTTGCAATTTTTTACTGAATATATTAATTATAGTATACGACATTGTGTTTTTGTCTCTGTCCTCCTCCTAGTTTTAGTTTTATAGGGCGGCAAAGCTTAAGGTGACCATATTATCCTCACCTACCTTAATAAAGGAAGTGAAATACTGAAGTAATTAAAGAAGATTATGTGTCTAATGAAATTTTTGGCAATCGCCCCCATTTAGTCCCATGTAAACGTATTGATAAGTATCTTGACGATCATACGAGGCTGCTTGTTATACACTTTGTATATACATTAAAATAATAGGAAGTTGCCAAATATGATTATAAAGTTTATTTGATAGATTATTTTTAAATATTTCGAAGACGTGTAAAGTGAAGACGAAACGAAACGCATAGTGGCAGCGCGGCGGACATTTCCATGTCCTAAAACCCTCTCAGAAATAAGAAGAGATCTTTACAATTGAAGACAACAACAGAGTAGCGTGTTAGTAAGAAATAATAAATGATTTCTTTATTCTTTTATGACGTTGATAGTAGCCTTGACTATGAAAGGCATAAAACAATAAAAATAAAAGGCCAATATTTGAATATCCCTGGGTCAAAGACTGTCTGGGTCTATTACGTGGTAGAGCGACACTGCAGTTATATTATGGTTGTGGCACGAATGGGAATACCAGCGTAAAATGGCAGCTTAACGCTGCTATGAACCGTATGGTGAATGCAGAGAACCGCAAAGAATCATTCCATCTTAGTCCTCAGGGGTGACCATGCATCTGCATTTTGATTCTTAATTGAGTGTAAATGTAGATGTCTATGAGCCAAAGCATCTACTTACCATCAGGTGGACTGTGTGCTCGTTTGTCACCCTTATTATATAAAAAGGATATAACAATATAATCTTTGCAACATTAAAATACCTCATACCGACGATGGGAAACATCGTCAAGTTGTGAATAGTCTGGTACGGTTGCACATAAAAGTTACAACTTTGACAAATTGTCCATGTCCAATAAAGGACTTTTGTAGGCTAATTAAGAAGAGAACGAGACAGGTCGAACGCTAAATAGTATTATAGGAAAGTATAAAAAAACTTTTACGCCAAAATATAAAGAGTTTTCTTTTCATATCATTTTAAAAAAGTGTAATTAAATGAATGTTGGTAAGAAAAACAGTATAAGGTGACAGATAAATGAAAGGTCATCACTAATGCCCGATTCCTACATTCAAATTATATAGGTGTCGAGGTAGACCGAGACTAACTTTCGAAGACCATGTGAGCAAATTGCTCGAAGAGGGTAGGGTCAAGAGTACTCGGATACCTAGACGTGCATGTATGAAGAAGATAATGAATCTGAAAGAAGCGAAAGAGATATGTAAGGATCGTGACACTTGGCGATCTGTTCTCTCTGGCTACCCCGTCAGGGATTGTGCGTGAAGATAAGTAAGTAAGCAAATTACGTTTTTTTTATATTCAAATTCAAATTTATTAATTCAGATAACATAAGATCCATATGATTAAAATACATTGATTAATTGATAATAAATAATAATAATAAGTACAATAAATACATATTACACATAATTATTATTTAGTACCTTTTCAGTGTCACAATTACTGGGACATGTCTGTCGCAGCAATGGCGGAGGAGAGAATAGTCCAATCTGTCTCCTGTCATTTTCAGGATAATATTAGAACAGGCCCGCACTCTGCGCACCGGTGCCGCGCACCGCTTACGCCCATGCGTATATCCCATATTCCATAATATACGCATGGAATATACGCATTTATAGAATAAGGGTGACAAACGAGCACACACTTCACCTGATGGTAAGTGGATGATGTGGCCCAAAGACATCTAAATCTATCGTCGATTAATAATCAAAATGCAGATGCGTTGTCACCCCTGAAGTCTAAGGTGAAATGCCTCGTTTCCAGTTAAAATGGTCTCCGGTTTTCTACATCGTTCGCCGTAACTATTCTTTCAATTACGTACGAGGTGGATGTCAAATCAGTGTTTATTGCAAACTATTCGTTCAGCTAATTAAACCGATTTAAAAGGAAACAACTTTAAGCGGCTGTATGAGCAGTGTTTTGTTTTAAAAACCGGCCAAGTACGAGTCGGACTCGCGCATGAAGGGTTCCGTACCATTTTAATACACGTTTTTAATTTAATTTATTTTAATTTGTAGAAATTTCAACTGTCTACCTATTACGGTGCCTCAGATACAGCCCGCTTACAGACAGACGGACGGACGGATGAACGGACAGCGGTGGCTTAATAATAGGGTCCTGATAGCTACCCTTTAGGTACGGAACTCTAAAAAGGGTTTTTCATACAGTTTACTAGGAGATAGATCTCCTTTTCTTCTCCACGGACTTCCTTGTCAGTCTAATCTAATATTAAGAGGGTATCTCTTAAGTATTTCTGCCTCAAAACAGCAGTGCGTATTCCGCTCTGCAGGGAATAGGAAGTCAGTATAATCACAGGTTGCAGTGCATTCCATCTTAGTCTTTAGAAATGACAATGCATCTGTAGCCTTCTTCATTTATTGTTGGTTGCAGGTGTCCACGGGCTGCAGTAGCTGCTCACCATCAAGTGACGGTAAGTACGTTTGTCACTTCAAATAAAAAAAAGTTTTATGAACTACCATAAAACGACTCGTAAAGGAAAACGAAGCGTTTTTGTTTTAAATATAGATAAGCCAATGAACAAGACTGATTACAAAAACTATAATTTAAAATGAAAAAATTTGTACAGCCGACTTCAAAATGAGTTATTAAGAATAACTCAAAAACTATTGGTCTAACCTTGATCAAATTCATATGGGACCACACGAGAAGTACCAACTTTCAAATAAAAAAAGAATCATCCAAATCGGTTTACCCAGTAAAAAGTTATGAGGTAACACACATAAAAAAAACATACAGTCGAATTGAGTACCGACTCCTTTTGAAGTCGGTAGAAAAGTGATCGTTGCATGATGTATCTAACACGAGAACAAATAATTTTTCTTGCGATACTATATCTACCACTTTCTTTCTATGGCTTGTTATTCTTTTCACAAATGAATTATTTCACACACTAGGAACTCTCTAAAATTTCTTAAATTTTAATAAATTTTATTGAAACCCAGATATCTAATTTTGTTGCCATATTTACCGTTACAGCCTATTAAAAATCCTCTGCGTATCTAAAGCTTTCCTCATAGATTGCCTTATTGGATATTTTTTTATAGATTAAGGGTAACAAACGAGCACACAGTCTACCTGATAGTAAGTGAATGCTGTGGCCCATAGACATCAACATTAATCCTCGATTAGAAATCAAAATCATCTGCATTTATATTCTCAATTGAGGAGGTTCTATGGCCCTATGTATTTTTATAGAATAATTACGACAAACGAGCACACAGTCCACCTAATGGTAAGTGAATGCTGTGTCCCATAGGTACACAATATATTCTTGACTATGAATCAAAATGCAGATGCGTTGATGTCGGTTCCATACGGAAAGTACTACGAGTACCCTTTCAAAAAAATACATGCTGCGATGCTATAAAATATTTTGTTTTAGAATAAGGCTGACAATCGAGCACACATTTCACCTGAAGGTAAGAGGATGCTGTGGTCCATAGACATCTACATTTATCCTCGATTAAGAATCAAAATGCAGATGCGTTGTCACCCGTGAGGACTAAGATGGAATGCCTCTATTCCAGTAAAAAGGGTCTCCAGTTCTCTACATTCAACCATACGAAACACAGCAGTGTTAAGCTGCTATTTTACGCTGGTATTTATTTATATTTGATTGGGATTCAGATATATTTGTCAGCTGTCACGATTTGCAAGCAGGTTAGCAACCGCATTTTTTTCAATTATCAAAAAAAGACGCTGCCTTCTTTCTACTGATCTGGTTCTCTTTGTCACCTCTTGCGACACCCAGGAGACGTTAGGGGGTAGTTGATATCCTGACGCTGCCACTACACGGTAAAACGTACAAACTTTTTTATCCTTAAAAGACCTTACTCCTTCTAAAATTTCGTTAGATTTCGGTAACGATAAACCCTTTTTTTAATTAGATATAAATCATTTATTACTACTTTTGTCATAAAAAGGTGAGAAAGTATGAAACAACATTATTTTAGGGATCATCATCATGAGCATTACAGCCCTTCACAAGTCCACTGCTGAACGTAGGCCATCCCCAAGGATTATCACAAAGCACGGTCCTGAGCCACAAACATCCATCGACTTCCTGGATCTCTTAGCAGATCGTCATTCGGTCTAGTGGGAGGCCGCCCTACACGTCGCTGACCAGTACGAGGTTGCCACTCGAGAACCTTACTACATTTAAGGATATTATTTTAAGGACATAAAATATCAAGCATGTATAATAGCTTCTTAAAATGAGCATAAAATACAAAACTTTTTAAATAAATGTAAGTAATGTAATAAAATAGTGTAATATAATAATAATAATAAAATGAATATTGTAAATTTCTTGACAACTACCAAATTTATATTTTATCAAATGTATTATTATATTTATTGATTTAAAAGCTTCCCTACGGAGATTAATGTAACGACGTAAATATACTAACGTATACAAAAACACAAAATATTTAGAAAAAGAAATGCTACTTACTGCCTCTCTGTGGAATCTGGGCCGCTGTAACAAAAGAAACGACATCAATTAGTAAGTCTATCTTATGAGAAATAGCATAATACAATATGTTTCATACACAGAATAAGCAACACTAAGAAATATCGTTTTTAGAACTCCGTTATCGGATACGATACATATTGTATCATAGGATTATTACATAGATTATTTTTCTGTGTCGCAACATCATTCACTTATAATTCCTTTTACTCTCTTGTTTTTTAAATATTGACTTTATAAACTTCAACATCATTAACTTCTGAATTTTTGAATAAATAAAATAAAATAATAGGTATTTCGTTAATTTTATCGTCAAAAAAAATATGTACTTTGATCTCCACAAAGTTCAAAACCTTTATTGAACAAAGTTTGTATAAAAAGGGTTATTACAAAATTATAGAAGTTTATGGATGATAATAGTCCTGGGAATGAGATGATCGCTACCAAGCTATTTCTAATTTGTGTCGTGTGGTTTAATTGTTTAATTGTTTTTTTTTTTTCAAAAAAAAACCGCAATGTGTTTGCTAGGTCTTCCCAGAACAGAGGTTTTTTTTCCGAACCAGTGGTAAACTAAACAAAAGATTGACTTTCATATCGAATAAAAAGTTTATGTTTCTGTTTCTGTTTCAAAATTAATAACTTATAAAAAAAATTTGCTGCTTATTTTAAGTTCCTTTAACTATTCAATTTTTGAAATATTAATTTCAAAGTAGTCTGCAATGTGTCATCTGTCTCATTTTAGATTGTTTTAATTGTGTGACAGAACTTCTGGAAAATTCCAACTACATTTATTAACTTCCTTCTGCGTAGCATTGAAAGGAAGTGAATGGTTTTAGCTGGCAGTCTGTTAGTCTGTATGCCGACACGATAACTTCCGTTCCACTGGACCGATTGACTTTAAATTTGGTATGCGGATACCTTGAGTAGTAGCTCGGTCGAGTTTGAATTTGGGGCCTATAGGTCAAAGGGCACCAAAGATATGGGATTCACGCAGAAGGAAGTTGTTTTTCTTGCATTTATATTCAACTCGTTCTTTGTTATATTGGAAAAATAATATTTACAGCAAAACTCCACCTTACGCATTGGGCAAATTATTTTAATAAACAAGAGAATTAATTGGAGTCCTCTTCGACTTTGAGATTTTTTCCTAAATTTATCATAAATTTATATATATAGAAAAAAATTCTTGTAATTTTTTTAGTCCTTATAGAGTCGTCTACAGACAACAATCATGCTGCTAGTAACATATACTACAATAAGAGCCTTCATATGTATTACAAGAACAATGCATGTACTAAACTACCTAAAGCACTAAAATCCTTTAAAAATTATAAACGTCGAAAAGTAAATACTGATATTATATTGGTCTAAATAATACATATGAGGCTCCATACTCAAAACAAAACCTAGATAGCTAACATAACACTAGAATAAATCTAAACAAAAATCCTCGTTAATACATACATATATAAAAACGTAAGATATATATCTATATCAAAGAATATATTGTCCTTTCCAGTCTTAACGTTTTTAAATAACTTCAAACTAAAATTAGATTTGAATTGTAAAGTGTTTTTATCAACGTTGACAAACTGGACAAAAGTATCATTTTAAACGTCTTTATCAAAAACAGTGACAGAAGCTAACACAATTAAAAAAAGTGAAAAGGTTATTTATTTCGATCCAGTCTGTCTTTATGTAATTCGTTTTAAGTATTTAAATATCAGACAAAATTATGAAAATTCGCATACCTGGCGACAATGTAAACAACATTAATAAAGGGTTCTGAAATCTCGCAGGCACCTAAAAATCATATATCAAATAAAACTAGGCAGCCCGGGCGAAGGGAGGAAAACAAAAAGGGAAGGAATGGCAGCGACAGCAGTCTAACATTCACCTTGGCTTCTTTAAGCTAACAAAATACACTTACCTACTGCTATAAAAACAATAAATCAAGACTAAAACAATAATGATAATCCTCTTTTGCATAGGCAGTATCGTTGCCATATAAATGTACACAGTTTTATAAATAACTAAATGACAGGAAGGATACTGCCTATTCAAAGACCAAACATCTAAAAGAGCAAATCTCTATTTACTTTACACATTTTATAGAAAACAGAAAAATAAAGTTATTCCATCCGAACGTTGCCCCTTAAAATCTAATCTTAGCTTGTCACAAAGCAGATGGCAAAATTAAAAACAAACACTTAAAATGTTGCCGTAAGATATTTATTATAACATAAATATAATATTCACTTTATGTAACTATTTTTACCTTTAAGACAAGCAATTTTGACACCTATAAGAAACCAAGTACACTGTTACGCAGCCAAGGATTGGATACGGGAGTCAAAGGGTTGGTCAATTTAGGAAAATACTAGAAAGCCAAAACGGGCTAACATATGCAAAAAATATTAAAAAGTAAAAAAAAAAACTTTTTTAATTGAAAAATTTGGATAAAGAAATGGATGTAAATAAAAAAAAATGCTGGATTCAGAAGGCGATTTTCAGGATCCAAATCAAGATCTGGAGAGGACTCACAAGCAAGAAATATCCCCGGCCGGTTCGTATACCGGCGCTTCCCAGTGGGGCGGAGGCCCGGGGTACATTCCAGAACCCTGAGGCACGGGCGGGGCATATTCCCGGGGCCGGCAGTAAGATTGCTGCTGCATGTTGTTTACATTGTCGCCTTTTACCGTTTGCTGATTTGGCGCATCTGAAAATGTAAACCAAAATGACTTTTCTATTCCTATAACACCTTTATTATGTAAGAAAGGGTGTACAAGATAATTTAAAATTAAAAATCTTATACAACCGACTTCAATATAAATTATTAAGAATATCTCAAAAACTATTTGTCAGAACTTAATCAAATTTATATAGGACCACATGAGAAGCACCTGCTTTCAAATAAAAAAAGAATTATCGAAATCGGTTCACCCAAAAAAGTTATGAGGTAACACACATTAAAAAAACATACAGTCGAATTGAGTACCTCCTCCTGTTTGGAGTCGGTAGAAAAGTGAGGATGCGTATCAACTTTTTGTAATTTAGAAAGTCAGTGCTGTCTGGAAAAGTCGAAGTATCTACCATATATCTAGGAAAAAAGATACAGCCTATCTTTTTTTTAGAAATCATTTGTTTTAAAGAATAAGGGTGACAAACGAACGAACAGTCCATTTGATGGTAAGTTAACGCTGTGGCTATTAGACATCTACATTTATCCGCTTAGGAATCAAAACGCAGATGCGTTGTTACCCCTGAGGACTAAGATATAATGCCTCGTTTCTAGTAAAAAGGGTCTCCAGTTCTCTACACTCACCATACGGAACACAGCAGCATTAAGCTGCTACTTTACGTTGGTGTTATATCCTACCACGGTCAAGTCGGCCCATTCTTTCTACAATCATAATACAGCGTGGCTCTATCACGTATAGAAGAGCATTTGTTTACAATTGATTACGAAGTTCTTTATTAAACGAAAATCGAAATTGAACTTAGAGCTAAGTGTAGGAATATTTGGTCCTAAGCAGAACGCCCTAACGTCTGACCAAAGAAATGTGAAACATTAAAAGGTAACTGAAAGGTGATGTTGAAAAATAAAATAACTCCGTCTCAGTATTTATTGAACGCCCCTTATGTTAATTAAAGATAGTTTAACAGACGCGTTGTCAGGCATTGTCATAAAAGAAAAATTTAGAATTATTTATTATTAATATTAATGCGTTTTCTAAAAATCTCAAGTCAATAAAAAAGTACGAAAATTTAATCAAGGGCGAATTACAACATCCTGTATTATCATTAAAATGTCTTTTTACAAAAATGAAGTGACAAACAAATTTACAGTCCACCTGATGGTAAGTGGCTACTGTCCATGGACACCTGCAGCCAACTTCAAACAAGTAAAGCTACAGATGTGATGTGTGACAGATACTCTATTTACACTGGAGACCGAAACACAACAGTACACGTACTGCTATTTGGTGACAGAAGTAATGATGGTGTAAGATAGGTTTTGGAAAATTAAAAATGATGTCATTTGATGTGTGTAATATCTAAGCATTTAAAAGATTAGAATTATCATTAAAACAAGCAAAAGGGATAAAGATGCAGCATATTATAGCTGCTACAGCACGAATAGTTAATACTGAAGAAGAACCACGTTCGCATAGAATACGAATTTGTAATACCAGGTGATGAAAACCAGAAACCGTTTTAAATGGTAACGAATCATTCCATCTCAGTCATCAGGCGTGACAACGCATGAGCTTTTTCATTCTTAATAGATGTGAGTACCTGATGATATCCTCCAGAACAAAAATCAAACATGGCGGTCAGTCTCAACGGAGACTGGCCATCTGCGAAGGACAGGATTATAGTGCACGAGTGCGCGCTCAAGCACTGGTGCACTCACATTCATAGTTCAATGTGGCGGCAATCTGACTCGATCTAAAAGAGATAAGGCGGAGGACCAACGACTAAACGTGCTTTCTGAGGCACGAGGGTGAAACACCGCCAACTTCCTGATACCGGGTTATGTTGCGTACTTTGCAGATAGCCAGTCTTCGTTAAGACTGGACGTCATGACCGAAGCTCGGTCTGGAGGACATTATTATTAACTCCATCATAATATATCAGCTAAAAGGTCATTGAACCACCTTTTCAAAAATGTAAAATTTGTTACTAAGTGGCTACGCCGATCGCCTGATAGCTGACAATCCGTCAAAAAGTCAGAATTAACTCCGTCGGAACATATGATCCAGAGATTTAGGACATCAACGTAACCACAAGTGTATAGATGAATTATTAAGACAAACCCGAATTTGTATGTTTGTCCTTATGCAATTTATGAACATTTATGAAAATTCTATGGAACCGTTTAAAAAAAGTTTATGTATATTTTTTAAAATATAAGTACCTACCATGTTTAAATGGCCGATAGATATATACATCTATCTTAGTTTGCGAATCAAAATGCAGATGCGTTGTCAGCTGTAAAACGG